AAGGCTTAATAGTCCCATTTTAGTTAGGTTGGTGGTCGCTTTAGGCTTGTAAATAAAGGTTGTGTCATGTGGACACGTGTGAGAGATTTTCGGTCTGTAATCGACCATTTTACCCTTTGTTGTGCAACTGTTCAGAGCTTTTAAAGTCTGTTTGTAATTTGCATTGTCTATGAAGTGTTTTCGGAGATGTTTGCTTGTGGATCCCGAGTGAGGCATTTTCTCTATCCTGTTCTCTCTTTTGTGGGTCCTAAGGGACCATGGGAGGCTTCGGGGAGGCTGAGCTTTGCAGACGAACACGCAAGGGTGCCACACGACTTAGGCAAAACTAGCTAAGTCCGTGACATATGGTATCAGAGCGGGACAAGCACTCATAGAAACACTTAGCATGCAAACGTGGGGGACCTAGCGGGGCTACGTTGAGGGCAGTCAGCACACGCGTGACCGTTTGGGGGAAAACAGGCATGGAGATGTAGGGAAAAGGAGTTGCTCGGAGGAGCGGGCATCTGAGATTAGCATTCAGAGGAATGGCCAACCCTTCGCGCAAGAGGCACCACGAGAACAGACAAGCTTGGAAGAATACGGAGCGCACAAAGGTTGGGATGACTGAGTTTGAGCTACGAACAATTATACTTGATGGTGCTCAAGGCAAGCGAGGCGCTTGGTAAAGGATGAGACCATCTAAGATGGACTGAGTTGCTCAGCGACCGAAAGAGTTGTGCAAAGCTCACAGAGGTGAGGGGAATTGCTAACTCAAAGAATTCGGTACTCATGCATGGGCTTGTGTGCGGATGATGGAATATTCGCGGCCATCCCAAGGCGACCGAAACTCTGCGCCATGGAGCATTGAAACTTTCTCTTCGGCATGTGAAGGATACGTCCGTAGGAGGCTGAAGTGTGCAACGAGTTTAGCATGTTGCTAGGCCTTGAGTGGTGCAGCGGGAGTTGTATTGACGTGGAGTCGCAATCTAGCAAGTGTGTTTGCTGGAGGCAGAACAATGCACAGTTTGTTCAGTAGATCGGAGTAGTCCAAGGGGATAGTGGTCTCCGAAACGAAGAGAGATGTTGCTCCAACGGGACGGTTATCCAGGAGGGATAAGTCCCGGCTCTCTAGAGGGAGAATCATGTGGGACGGACCTCACAAGTTGAGGAGGAGTACCTCAACAAACAACAACTCCACAAAGCTCAATGGATTGAGCAAGCGGCGAGGAGTCGTCGCATGATCTCGCTCGAGAGAATGCATTGGTAGATGCATTGCGAGATCAAGTGGGGGAGCGACCCAAAGCAACACAAATGAAGGCACACTTGAAGTCGATATGGAGATCGGACTCAAGGGAGGGCTGACCCGTGGAATGGTGGGCGCGAGGGCCACCATCAACTCAATGCAAAAACGAGGAGCGGAGCAACTTGGGTGTAACTTGGCGAAGTACCCAAGCCGCATGAAGGGAGCCAGCATAGCAGATGGAACATGGAGCGGAGGCATAGTGCTTTCCTTGGACAAAGGTCAAGGACATGAACTCTTGCAAAGGCAAGAGCAGGATCATGTTGTTCCATGGGTCATTCATTCTAACGGAGCGGACTCAGCTTGCATGGTGCCAAAGACGAAGGGAGTTCTGGGCACATGCACCTTATCTCGGAGGAGCATTTGATGGAAGAACTAAGATGACTCAATTTGCGGAGGCGAAGTTGGGTTCAGAAGGCCTTAGCACGGGGCAAGAGGACGCAGAGGCGGGTACTCTTGAAGAATATGCCACAGTGTTGCCATTCAATTTGCTATGAAGGAAGCTGTGCGCAGCGAAGATTGTGCTGGTAGGGGTAGAGGCCCAGGATCCAGACAATAGTGCACTAATTGCAGTGAAGTCGGGGGACTTCGGGAGCTACTAGGCGACGGACTGTCCTAGAGCGGTGCTTCATCTAGGTGTGACCCAAGAGTCGGTGGATAAAGGTCGATTGCCAAAGGAGCGAACAAAATCGAAGGTGGAAGAGACCCTGCGATGTATTGACAGAGGCCACACATGAAGGGTTCACAATTCGAGTTCATCCCACAAGGATCAGAATGCAATAGAGATGTCACCAGGAGGCGACATGGTGCAGCGGATCGTGGTGGAACAGTTCGTGGCAATGCGATACACACAACCTAGTCCCGTGAGGGACTAGATCATATGGAGGTATGATCGGGAGCTACTGGAAGCGCCACTTCGGTGAACAACACGACGGTAAGAAGGGCTATGGATTCAAGGAGTGAAGGCCATGGTACCGCAGAGGCAGGTCTTCCGTACGTGCATCGAATTTTGCATCGGATGAAAACCTTGGTCATCAGCATATGGGGGCTATGTTCCACCAAGGGAAAAGTTCGAATGCAAGTACCAGTGAGTCCCATGGGAGGGACTTGATCATACAGAGGTATGATCGAAGCAGCTGGAGAGTTGGACTGCTCTAGAGCTCATATTCGCTTAAGGGAGCCTAGCAAGTCAGAGGACAAGGTCGAGTAAGCGAACGTTGCTACTAAGGAAGCTAAGGAGAACAGAATCGGTGCAAACCCTATAATGCGATGGCAGAGGCCATGCATGAGAGTTGCAGTCTGTCTTTCCATCGACCAAAGGGAGCTGCTTGGAAAACACAGAGGTGTTGAAGCAGGGGGTCGAAAGAGGCGAGGAAGCGACGATGAGTCCAGAGGGACTTAGCTACCCAAAATCAAGCATCAGTTAGAATGGAGGTGGACTCGGAGGAGTGCCACAGAGACATATATACTGATTGTGACAAAAAGGGATGCAGATGCGAGGCGATGGATAGTAGGGCCATGGGCATGGTAGCGTCATGGTACCACAGAGGCAAGACTTTCGTGAAAATCATTGATCCCTTGCTCTCATGGAGGGAGAGCGCTTGATCGTGAAAGGGGCCGAGGAGGCGGAGCATGCAGAGGCAAACTCCAAGTACCGTGACAAGGCTGAAGGGCAGAGGCAAAGGAACTTCGTAAGACCGCTGTCAACGAGTTTCTTATCAAGATAGCCGAAAGTGAAGGACTTCGGGTCAGGCAAGAGTGCATGACCAAGGAACGAAGTAGGCAGTACGCGGTGCTGTACCTTTGCTACTCAGTGGAGTAGGCGGCAAGGTTGATGGAGAAGACGGTACAATCCCAGAGGCGACCAAACCTATGAGAGAATTACTCTAAGTTGGGGTGCAAACTTCCTGCATTCCAGAAGTTCGATGGCATTGAGAAGGTGAATCACAGTAACTTACTCAACGCAAGGAGTGCAAACACTTCAAGTGCTTCAGAAGTGTGAGCAAAGAGCAGGCGAAGGCCAGTAACCAGCTCGATGCATGGAGTACAACCTCGAGGAGGCGGGCGAAGTCAAGTAACCTTTGCCTTCTCAACTCTTAAGAGAATGGGTGAAACCGAGTACCCCAATTCTTTAATCTATCCAGTAGAGGAGCTCTGCATATGTTCAAAGACCCTTCGAAGATAATGGAAGACAATAGTTGTCAAATCCTCACCAACGGTGATCAGTGTTACTGAGAGTATATTGTCTACTTCATTTCCCAACGAAATACCAATCGAAAGCGGAAATGATGCGAACCTACTTGGATGTGACAACTAAATGAAAGAAGAGTCAATGAGCAAATTTTATGGAGGAAGGACCCAAAACTTCAGAAGTTTGCGAGATGATGCTCGTTAAAGCTCCAATAAGCATCCACCTAGTTTAAGCAGCATGAGGCATTTGAGAGACTGACGTAGTAAGGATAGTCTTTTCCGTCATCTGGAGGATCCGCAGGAACCAACAGGGATCAACACAACTCAACCAACCCCACACTAGAGTCAGAGTCATTGGCGAGTTGAAGCAGCATGGCGGATCAAAGGTTCGACTACTCAAAAACAACAGCGGAGAGCAGTTGGGAGCCAAGAGGCGCATTGCAGCTAGAGCAGAAGATTGAAGACTCAGCAAAGGCGAGGAGTTGCAGTGTTGACAAAGGCTTCGACGAGGACGTCGAAGGAATAAGTGGGGGAGAATGTCACAGACAATCTTCGAAACAGGATGTTTGATGTAATGCTTATGTATGTCCGTGTCTTTTGGTATGTTCATGCTCTGCACAGCATGTAGAGGGACGGTCGAAGGCTTAATAGTCCCATTTTAGTTAGGTTGGTGGCCGCTTTAGGCTTGTAAATAAAGGTTGTGTCATGTGGACACGTGTGAGAGATTTTCGGTCTGTAATGGACCATTTTACCCTTTGTTGTGCAACTGTTCAGAGCTTTTAATGTATGTTTGTAATTTGCATTGTCTATGAAGTGTTTTCGGAGATGTTTGCTTGTGGATCCCGAGTGAGACGTTTTCTCTATCTTGTTCTCTCTTTTGTGGGTCCTAAGGGACCATGGGAGGCTTCGGGGAGGCTGACCTTTGCGGACGGACACGCAAGGGTGCCGCACGACTTAAGCAAAACTAGCTAAGTCCGTGATAGAACAGTTCGTTGAACGGAGTTATTGCGGGTGCGCGACGACCATTCGTGACAGAAAGGGAAAATACTTCTAAACCAAAAAGTTCAATTTAATCCTGCTTAGAGTAATTCTTTTAGCATTGTATAAGAAGTAGGATTGGAGTTATGTGGTTTTCAGCATTATCATAAATTCAGGGTACTTAAGCAAAGGCAAACTACACTTTTAAGCTGGAATCAAATATTTAATCATTCATTGCCTTCTAGTAGTGCTTGTTCTGTGGCTTTTTAGTAGAATACACTTCCCTCGTATGGGTAATTGTTTCTCCCTTTTGTTCTTCTGCAGTATCCTAACCTGTTATTAAGCTAGTAAAGAATTCTTCAATTATTAGCTCTAATATGAAGTTAATGGCACTTTATTCATCGGTATCTATGAATAAATACAATTTAGTTGTTGGTGAAAGATTGAGTGTTCTAATTGTTATAATGACTCTATCTTCAAAGATCAAATTGTATTGCTTGTTTGGCCAGGTTGCAAATGCCTTTTTAAAATTGTTACTCTGAATGGTTTACAGGACAAATATGGTGGATATGGTGGTGGACCAGGGCAGGTTTGTTCTTGCTTATTTCAATTGCTTCTTTGTCTATCGGATGTACAATCACATTTAAAATTCTAAACAGCCAGTGTATTTTTAGCTTATGCATGATGAAATGAACTCTAGTATAATTTGAGTTGTACTGCAGTAAAAATATCTATTATAATTTATAAGTTGCATTGTATGCACATAATATGTAGAAAATTATTGAATATTATGTGAGTTCCTTCAACTATGGCAAATATCTAATTAGCATTCTGATTGAGAAAGTTGTGATTCAAGAAATTGTGAATGAGGAACAAGTTCAGGGCATAGAAATTCTTGGATATTATACTAGAAATGTCATCAGTGCCATCCTTGTATAATATTGACCTCAATTAAAATCCTGACATGTATGGCTTGAGCAAGATTCAGTGCATTCTTATTACAAAGGAACAATGCATGCTTTACTGTAAGTCTGTAACACTGGGAAAGATAGCTGAACTTGACTTTCATACCTTGTATAACTGAAATTCATCTTATTTATTGCAATTGAATGGACTAGCCTATTAAGCAGAAGGAAGGATAAATTTAAGAAAAGGGTGGAACATAATTATATATTTTGGATTGAGCGTAGAGTATGCTTTTGTGCAATTGAGTCACTGATGATTGGATTGATTTATCGAGGTCTATTTCTCTTTAGACCAGGGGCATTGTTCTCATTTTTTTGGTCTAGTCTTGCTAGGACTTTATTTATACATGTATTCAGAATTTAGAAAATGTTTTCTTTTATGGCCTTTTGGAGTCTAAAGGATAGGATCAATGTCTACTTTTAGACTTGCGATCAGTATAACTTGGTCTTCAAGTGAATAGATTGAAGATACAAGAGACTTACTGAAGACATTAGGGATGTTACTTGAGGCCATAGATTTAGACTGCTACTAAAGTTGAAGTTTGCTGCTTCCATGTTGTCCCATATGGAGACTTTTTGTTGCCTAAGAACTTCAGCCCTTGTAAGAGAAGGTTTGCAACTTGCAGTGAGGTCTCATCTTGATAGCAGCAGACTAATTGGTGTTCATAACTTCATATTATGTGTATAGAACTCATATTCCATGATTTTTAGGGTTGTTGCTCAAGTGCAATGAGAAAATTAAACAAGCAGCTATAATCAGGAGCAGTAGAACACTTTAGGAATGTAGGGATAAAAAAACAATAGGAGATGACCCTGTTATCAGTAATATTAATCAGTTTGAGGATAATGGACTTCCCAAAGGATGAAAAAGAAAAGAGAGCATTTGTATAGTAAACAAAAATAACATATCAAAAGAGAGTTTTTTGAAATTTAGGAATCCCACATATTTCTATCTGAAGAATGGTGTAAAATTTTCTGGACATGTCATTTAATGGCTTATGGACCCTGTCAGCCTTGTTTATAAACCAAAATTAGGACTTCAAATAGGTATTTAACTCAAAGTATGTTTCTATACATGATCTAAAATAGTGATGAGAAATGGGAAAAAAATACATCTAATAATAATAGGAAAATACAATGTAACTTGAAAGGCCCTTCTGTGAGCTGTCCAAATGTGGGAGAGCTGCTCTGCATCAACTTCCTGCTCGTCAAACTCATGGAGCCATCAGAGTGGCTGGCTGGGATCATGTTGAAGGATCACTTTGAGCTTTATCATCTTTCTTTTCAACTTCACGTGTAGAGGTTGGGTGAGAATGTTGCAGATCGTGTTCCTCAAATTGAGGAACATAGCAGTGGAAACTTTTTGGCTTTTACATTTATCCACAAGGCATTGACTGACTCTCACAAAATCTATCAACAAAGTACTTTTAGAATCTTTAAGGGCAGAAATTTTCCAGAGAACAATTTCCTAATTATGAGGGAGATTCAGGTAAAGTTGGATCCCAAGATGAACTTTTAGTTAATCGTCAATTATTTCATTGTTGTCTGTGATGAATCTGAAACAGATGACTAATCTGCAATTATTGTGAGGCTCATCATTGATGTCTTGATTATATCTGTGACAACTTCATGGACAAATCTATTTCTATTTTCAGAATCACCATTCTTTTAGATTATCTGAGCATTAACTAAATGCTTACTTCCTTAGATGCCTCATCTTGCAACAACTTATGCTGCTGTTAACACACTTGTTACTTTGGGAAGTGACATGGCATTGTCATCTATAAATAGGTCACGGATCTAACTCTACAGCTTCTGTTGCTTTTTGTTCACATATGACATTTAAGTAGAATCTAACAGAATTCAGAATCTTTTGTCTGATCAGAGCAAATCTGCTTAAGTTTTTGCTGCGGATGAAAGATTCTTCCGGTGCATTCAGGTTTGGTTCATTTATAATTTCTCAGTCATACTTGGATGCAAGGAAGTAATTTGCATGATGTGTATATGAAAGAGAACATTGAAGCTTGTGTCAAGTGATCTTTTCATTCTCTTATTGTACAATTTACCCTTTTGGCAATTGGTTGGACTGGTGTACCTAGATATTAAGTGCTATTCTTATTTGCATTGCTTGGTACCAGTGAAAAAAGAACAAATATGATGTACTGAGTAGCTCCAGGCTTATGGTTCTGGTTGTTGGTGCTTGGTTGGCCCAACAAATATAGGTTGTACATACCAGCAAGGTTCTTAATCTCGTATCGTATCGGTGTATTGAGCTTTGCTCGGTATGATCCGCCTAAAATAGGCATAAAACCCTCTGAAAATACCTGAATAATAAAAAAAAAGAGTTAAGATAGGGTTTTTAAGTTAGAAATAAATATACATTTAATATAGTTTAAGTAAAACTAATGTAAATTAGGTAAGAATAGTGCCACATATCTTTTTCAAGTTTTGAAGAGTAGTCTTGTGCAAGGTTCACAATTTCGGTCCATTCCGGATCGTCCTTCTAATATTGAATTATCTACAGAAAAATTATTTGAATTGTTAGATTATTTTGCATACAACTTGAACTCTAAGATTCCAATGAATTAACTAACTATATATGTAGATATATCTTATTCTACCACCAAAATGAACGACAGGCCTCCACGAGTGGTAGATCGGGGTCCTCGATCCTATGTATCTGTATATCAATATGATATGTTTGTCGGACCCAATCCTGAAATTGATCCCACAAGATAGTGTATTGATACACCGTATACCATTGGTGCATCAATGTGGTAATGGTCATATATTGATCGTCATGAATCATGTGTCCGAGGCGGCTCCTGAGGCATGTATTAGTGAATGTCAGAACTACTTTTGCTACTGGTATGTTGCTCTGTATCATACTGTTGCTCCGTATCATACTGTTGCTTAGAGAAGTATGATCGACTATCACCGTACTGCTATTAGCCGTAAGATTCTCCATAATATAACGGTTGTGAATACAGTGAGCTTTGTTCTGTGTTTACATCGTGTAGGCTCTATCGCATCTGCTCAAAATCATCCACTGGCTTCCCCTTCCGTGCATAAATTTGACTAGTATTTCTTTGAGTACCGGTCGAAAGTATATCATCGAGTATCTTGTTGAAATCGATTGGTACCAACCAGTACAGGTAGATAATGATCAAAATTTCGACTGTTACCGCCCGGTACAGCCCCGTATCGCCCAACATGGGAGCAAATGCATGATACCATTTGGTAGCGAGTGGTCCGCGTGCCGATTTGCTGACGGACCAGTACAGGCGGTACGGTACGGTATTGCAAACATTGCATGCCAGTATGATTGATATGTTAAAACATGGTTCAAATGTTTTTTTTCTCTTAAAAAGCTATTGCTGAATCAGCATTTTGATTTTGAGTTACCCTAGAAACACCCTTGTACATATATTCACTTCAGTCCTGTACAAGCAGATTCAACAATTGATATCATATGTTTAAACTGTACACTGAAGTGTTAAATATTTGGTTGTAATAGCAGAAAAATTTTGGGTTTTACAAGACATGAAGATTATGCTAAATGATTTGACTTGATGGCAGCCTCTATTGTCAATCTCATATTCTAAAAAAGTTGTGTTTTCATGTTATGTGGCTTATGCTCTTTGGATCTTGCAGTCTATGGCCCCAAATTTTCTCGCCTAAGTATTGAGGTGTACCTCTTTGCACTAAGCATTAAATGTATGGTAGAAACAACAAAAATGATCATTTTTGGATTATAAAAACATCCAATCAAGTCGAACTTTGGTGTCATGTGCTTAAGAACTTTGGATGAAGTGCTTTAGATACTCAATCTCTATCGGCTGAGTATTGTGGTGCAATGTATCTGTAGGAACCATACATACTGTCCCAACATAGTCTCTGTGACAATCAAAGGGTATAGTATTAGAAGTTATTCAACTGTTAATCATGATCCAGTCTTCATTCCAAGGTGCTTCTACAATTTATAAACTGGTTTCTTCAGAATTATTTTGGTTTTATTAATTTGTCCTGGTTGGTAGAAATTGAAATCTGCAGGAGATCATGAACAAGTCACATTAAGGCAATTTCTCTATATATATTTGAATTATTTCCTTTGAATCTAGGTTCTCTTGGGTAGTTTTGATGTCTTGAAATCAATTGTCATCTTGCACTTTGGTATTGCAATTTTGAGGAACAGGTTCTGGAGTTTGATATTCTGATGTGAAATTTTGCCATGAATATTTTGGAAAACAGTGGACAAACAAACTGACTCTTCTTTGGTTATGTAATAATCTGTTTGCTTCGTTATTATCTATTACTGATAATTTTGTCTATTCTAGTGACAAGCATTTTTTATTTGTCAGAATGCATGATGGAGGTGAAATTGATGTTCGTGCTTGCTACACTGCAATCTCGGTTAGCTTCAGCAATGCATACCTTTTTTTGTTCCACTGTCCTTTGTCTGAATCACTTCTCAACTCTTTGTGAAACCAGGTTGCTAGTATTCTCAATGTTCTGGATGTTGAGCTGGTAAAAGATCTCGGAAATTACATCTTGAGGCTAGTCCTTTTTACTTGAAATTTTAAAGAATTAGATTGTATGCATTGGGGTTTCCTTTAGGGTTCTTTATGGTTTTGATTGAACCTTTTGATGGCTTTCATGTCTCTGAATATTACCTTATAGGCTGCAAATAACAAGAACCTAAAGCCTCTAGGAAATCAAATGTTGGTTCTTTGTTCGAACTTGTGTCTATGTGTTTATTCTTTAGTCATGTCATCAATCACGCTCAGTGACTCGCCACCATATGTTTGAAAATTTTACATCTATAATCAAAGTAGTTGATGCTATTAAAAACTCTATCAATCTTTAGACATCAAAAATAGGATGTGTTGCCTTGAGGTTGAAAGTGCAAACCAATTAAATAATAAATGCTTATGGTTTATCACTCAATGAATATATGCAAGATAGTGGTGCTTCACCTTATAAACAAGTACAATTACATCATTGACTTGTGGATGGAGTTTTAAGCAACAACAGAAGTGATGAGGCATAGATGCTGTGGCCTCTGTTTTGTTGGGTTGAAGTGCCACTCAGGAGAATAGCAATCATTATATGCATTGCTAACTCATCTATATTGCGAATCAAGGTACTGATTTTTCATGCTTCAGTCTGTGTTTTCAAAGTGATTCATAAGTCAGGATCTGCACATGTATACCTGTAAAATATTGAAAGCTTCATGGTAATAACACCTTTTTTGGACATGAATATTGTGATGCACCATTAATTTGTCACAGCGATACCATAATCAAGTACTTTACTAACACCTTTTTTGGACATGAATATTGTGATGCACCATTAATTTGTCACAGCGATACCATATTCAAGTACTTTACCAGTTCCGTATTCATAACAAAGCTTTTTGCCTTTTAATTTTTGGTTTCTTTACTGTTCTCTACTTCTATTTTCCCCTCAATTTATGGAAATGCAGTTGCAATCAAATTTCTGTTTGTTTCAGCTGTCAAACATATGAAGGTGGTATTGCTGGAGAGCCTGGTTCAGAAGCTCATGGCGGGTATATATCTTTTATAAGTTTATTAGTTTTAGTTTTGCCTATGCCATTTTGTGTTCAGAACCTTTTAGAACTTTTTGTATGTTATATATGTGTCCCCAATGCATTGTTTTTCTTAAAGGTACACATTCTGTGGGCTGGCTGCAATGATTCTGATTAATGAGGCTGATAGGCTGGATTTGCCTAGTCTAGTTGTAAGAAGTTTCTCATTTGCTCTTGATGCTTAATCTCAATTTATGTTGCCATGCATTTTAGTCCAGAATCTTTTTAATTGTAAATTTAGAATAATGCCTGCCATTTTTTGGTTTAGCTGTCAATTTAGTACCTTAGGGATTTAGCCTGTGTTGTGAATTCTGCATACTGCCAAAGTTTTTAATTATGCATCTCCACTATGTGAAGTATGTAATAAGTAATAAATAACTTGCAACAAATGTTCAAAAAGATAAATGATCAGAATTCATTATGAGATTGTACTTCCTGGATGTGGCTTATGTGAAGCTCAAGAGATTACTGTGAATTTTATATCATGTGCACACAAACATACAAAGATAAATGACTAGAGGGTGTGCTTGCAGCCATTATTTTAACATGCATGCCTTGGCACATGTCCTAAATTATGCCTATGCATGCTTAGCTTTATAAGATATTTACTGCCCATGCCATCGCTAATAAGTGGCACATGGTGGCATGGAGCAAGCTCTGCCTGCAATTCATGCTATATATCTTATCCTAGTATATGAAGTTGTTAGAAATCTATACACCATTATAAGCTTCAGTAGCTATTCTCATATTCTAATTTCTGAGAATATATATATACATATAAATATATATATACATATATATATATATACATATATACATATATATATATATATATACATATATATATATATACATACATACATACATATATATATAATCTATTGCTTGACCTTGCACCATCTCCCAGCATCCGTTTCTGTTGTTGGTAATTGACTAATTATTATGAAATGGTTCCCTATTGATAAGTGCAAATGCATGCTGATTCTGTGATCAACTTATAAAGTTTATCCAGGAATAGAAGTGTTAAATATTTGTGCCTTATTTGCACACGATTTAGCTTAGTGAAATTTTCTTGTAGTCGTAACAGATGTCATCCACTATATTGTTCCCAGAAACTTTGAGTCACAAATTCTAGTATCATATCTGTTAATTGATATCTGTGAGCTTTGATTTGAGTTCTTCATTGCATTAATCTTATCTTTTAGGCATTGATGCTGCTTTGAAACTTTCGAGTCCTAAGGGTATCTGTATGTGATGTATGGTTAGGACTGGGTAGCATCTCGTCAAGGAGTGGAGTGTGGTTTTCAAGGGCGAGTAAATAAGTTGGTTGATGGTTGCTACTCGTTTTGGCAGGTAATTATCTTACTTTGTGGTTCTTAGTCATCCAATTTAGGATTCAGATATCAAATTTCTCTAGGGAGGTGCTCTTGTTTTGGCACAAAGGCTATCGCCGATTCTTCACAAACAGCTGGAGTCATCTTTTATCGGCCGAGTGCAGGCATCTGTTGCGTGTAATAAATCATGTAACTTCACTACTGGGGAAACTGGTTTAGATGGGAACTTATGTGGAGCTGGAACTTCTCATGCTAAAATTGAAGGTAGACTTTGCAAAGCTGTTGAAATTGCAGGTGTTCTTATTTGTAGTTGTAGCTGCCTCGTTTATTTGAATCGAATCTCTTTAAAGGGCTATGTGGGTACTTAATACACCAGAAAAACTTGTGTTAATGATTCGGATGACATGAGGTAGAAATGGCTGGTTATCTGCTAGTGCTATCTATATTATAGTGATCAAGGACTATCCCGACTTTTTCGGACTAGAGTAACTTCTAATTTGATCCATAAAATTGCTGATGAAATATGGAGGTCATGTTATTGATGGATATAACTAGTCCAGGTCATGGAAGCTGTAGACTATCAGGTAAAGTTTTTCAGTTTTGTTGTTGGTTGAAACATTTCTGTTGTTGATTTGGTAAAAAATTATGTGGTTATTTTCTTTTGAGATGATCAATGGTTTTATGGAAATTATGAGTCCATTTAAGCTATCAAAAGTGCAAGGAGAAGAGATATAGTATCTACTTATCTAGTGCTTTGCCACATTATTTTAACATTTAAAGTTTTCACAATCTGAGGAAATTTTGAGCTGTCAAAGTAGTGGATTATAAAGTTGACTGACAACATGAAGTAAACCTATTATCAAGATTGTTCCTGGATAAGGTAAGTCCAACTGTGTGGGTTCATCTAAACTGACAAAAGTAGGGACAAATTATCTTTTGTTCTTGCAGCACAAAAGTGGAGTTCGGGGTAATAGTATTTAAGGAGAAGAAGACACACAAGTGAGGAAAGATGAGTGGTCTGCAACTAAAGACCAATCTAGTGGACAACTTGGGATTTAAAAAGTTTTGAACAATGACTTCCTGTCCTTTCTGTTTTCTTATTTGATTACAAGACTCACCTGTTTCTTCAGTATTGAACTTATTTATATATGTGCTGTGCAATGGAACAGATACTGATTCTCTATTTGTATTTTTTTTTTTTCAATATATGCTGGTGCTTTGCTTCAACTGCATTCCTGTACTCTAGGCATTATTGTTGTGCTGATTTTTATGAAATGATCTTGAAACAGGAGGACTTTCAGATTTTGGTTTTTCATTCATGGAAAAACAAACTGAATGTGGTCCATTATTCCAAAGTATTGCCTTGCAGCAATATATACTCCTATGTTCACAGGTATGTACTGAATAATGAAGAAAACTCTGTTTCAAGAGTATTCAAAAGTTTGATGCCAAAAACTATGAGATTTGAGAAATATTTCAGGTGTTTGTGCTTATAGAACTTGAGGGACTTCCCATTAGTTAGAATACAGTCTTAACATGTCTTTTATACATCAATCATCACTGCTGGTGTTGCCAAAAGGATTAGCCTGATGTTCCAACGCCGTCAAGAGGATTTGATGAGCTTAACATAATTTATCTAATCTAAAAACTGAGGATTCAGTTGATGGTTTTATATTTTAAGCAAAATTTGAAATAATCTATATTTGTCATGTAATTTTTGGTCTTCATTTTAACATATTCTGGGATATCCTGCATGAATAAACGATGGTTTTGTTAGCTTTACCTGGATACAGCATTATAATATTTTCTTCTAGAATAGGAGGGAAGTGTAAAGTTCATTTATACATGTAGGTTGGCTTTGTTTTAGATAGTTGTGTAACATAATGCACTGTCTTATTCTTTTCATGTTTACAGCAGCTGAACTTATCGCATGGTTTTGGTTACTCGTATACTTGTTGATCACCAGCACTTCTTGTTCATCATTTCAATAGTTAAAGCACCTAAAACATTGTGTCTGTAGGTACTCGAGGGAGGGTTCAAGGACAAGCCTGGCAAACAACGGGACTTTTACCATTCATGTTACTGCCTAAGTGGTTTGTCGGTGTCTCAGTATAGCTGCTCAAAAGATGCTAGCGTACCACCACCAACAAGAGCAGTGTTGGGTCCTTATGCTAACCTGTTAGAGTCCGTGCATCCTCTCTACAATGTTGTTCTCAATAAATACTACAAATCACATGAGTTCTTCTCCTGCCTCTGATAGCAGCTATTTTATCTCAAAACGCAATCGATCCTTCCTGAAACTAATCTCTTTAGACTCCATTCTGAAGAGAACTCGTAGTCCTTCGATCCTGCCAAAAGGATGGTGTATACCAGATAATGATATTGATTATTTTACCTGGAATGAAGAGTATTGTCTCTACCGGTCATGTTTGCGGTGGCTAATTACCTGTTTGATGTAACTTCACAAGAAAATGAGACTGCAGAGAGAAGAAAACCTCGAGCATGGAGGAAGAGGTAGCTAACTGTAATGTAATTGCACATGATTCCATTGAATCCTGGTGTAATGAGAAGCGTAGTTTGCTATCCATTTCTTTATCATGGCCCCAGCAAGCACCGCTGTTAGTAGTGCAATTTGACATTGCCAACACGTAGCTGATGTTGAAGCACCAAACCAGATCATTCCAGGTGAACAGCAGTGACATCAAGGGTGAAAACGACACACCTGTGATTGGTTTTTTTCCCATGATAAATTGTTTTAACAAGCATTTGTTTTTGTTCTAATAAGTACACATAGTTCCTTAATTCTTGTGCAGGATTTACATGGCTATCCAAGATTTAATACAGTGCAGTCATGGCTGCTTCCAGCAGGAGCTGCTCGCACCATTTCAGCTTGGTCTCTTGACGTATCCAAGGATCTAACACATGGAACTTTGTGGTGTCAGATCCAACATCATTGGTCTCCAAGCTTTCTTCAGGTACATGACCAGCCACTGATATCCTAATAATATTTCACCGTGTTCATGAGCTTTTTTCCCATAAAGAAATGCCAAGCTTCAGCATGCACACAAAGTTTGGCAGCACCATGGCAGGGACCACTCGAGCATATCAATTCCATGTCTCCATTTCTTCTTTGTGTGACTTAGATGTCCATTTACTTACTTTCGATTTCATCTTTTGCTAAAGTCTACGAAACTAACAAAGCAAGCACCGCCAAGTGTAAAGCAGGTGTCACTGTCTGGGACCACAAATCGAATCAATTCATGATAAATTACATGATGGGTCATTTCTCTTCGATTAGATTATATATTTCATGGAGGAGTTGTTGCAAATTATCGTCTTGTCATGTCACTAACTTAGGGTTTAGTAAATATGATTTACACACCACCATTGCCATCAACGTGCACTACCCTACGAGGCACCATGGTGGTCAACACTAGTCAATGACAGAAGGTTGACCATTCCCCCATCCCCACACACACACTAGCACAAGTGTAAAGCGGTCACACTGTTACTTCCATGTCAACACGAACAAGCTTCACACGGCCACAGTAAAAAGAAGATGAGGTCTTCTAGCCAAGAAATTATAACCATTAAAGATAGGAACAGAGAGAGAGAGACAGAGAGATTCAAAAAAGCGCGATGCCTCCGGCTAAATCCCGTTCACATTAGCAAAGAAGCCAAGCAAGTCCTGCTTGTACGGTAGGAACGACCTCCGGGCGCCGCCGCGGCTCCCGTAATAGATCCGATGAGCGGTGGCTATATCCACCTCGGTCGCCTCACCACGCTTCCCCTTCGCCTTCTCCTCCTTGCCCTTCCCCGTCTCCTCCGTCTTGGTTACACGGCAACGGCTTTCCTTCTCCTTGTCGTTGTCCTCCCCGGCTGCGAGAAACACGAACTTCTCCTTCCCGTCGCTGTGGCTCCGCCCGACCACCAGGTCCCGGAGCCGCCACCGTAGGGAGGAGGACCCCGTGGATCGGCTCTTCTTGCACCGAGTCGGCGTCAGCGCCGCCGACCTGGGGGCCCACACGCAGTACGTCCCCGGCGGGACCCCAGCGAGCTCGTCCGCCGCCAAGGACGAGGACGACGATGACGCGCCAAGGTTCTCCTCCCGCTCCGCGATCAAGAGGTGGCGGAGGGTTCCCCGCACCGCCGAGGTCGCGCGCTCCTCCTCCAGCTCCGCCGCCGCTCTCCCGCGGCGGCGAAGGCCGTCGTCGTCGGCGAGGAGGAGGGCGCGGCCGAAGACGGGGTAGACGGGGCGGATCTGGCCGTCGGAGAAGATCTCGTCGGCGGTAATGTCCTGACCGCCCTCAGGGTCCTTGATCACGAAAGCGAATTCGAAGTCGTCGTCGTCCTCTGACTCGTCGCCCCCGCCGTCATCCAGCTGTAGCGACTCCTGTGTGCACTGAGGAGCGGCGGGGATCTGCTGCGGAGACTCGTGGCGGACGGCGGAGACGAAGCCATCATCCGTCTCCTCTTCATGGAAGCTGGAGGAAGCCATGATGAGAGGTACGTGTCTCTCTGTCTCTCGATTTATATCTCCTCTTCCTCTGGTATGGTCTGCTATGGCTTCTTCGTCGGTGTCGCCATGAGAGAGTGGAGGAGGAGGAGTTAATAAACCAGAAGAGGAAGCGGTTGAGCGTTGCTTGGCTTAAGGTTAGGGGGGGAAGTGTTTCCAATCGAGCGAGAGCAGTCGCACGGCTTTGAGATCAAGAAGGGCAAACTGGCCCCGTCGGGTGGGCTGCGAAAATGATGCCTCCATCCATCCACCAGTCCTCCGCCATTAGGGAGGGAGGCGAGGGTCGGTTGTCAAGTGAATTCACCCGTATCTTTCCGGGACGGGCCCCCACCCGCCCACCGGCTTCACACCCTATCTTTGCTAGACGCCCGTTAGAAGAGAAATATAGAATTGAAATTTCAAGGATGCTTAGATATATACAAATCTTTTTTTTTTTTTATCATCTCTTACATGAAAATAAAAAGAAAGATAGTTTTCTCAGCACATTACAATCGACTAGAAAAGAAAGAGATAAGCATCAGATTCCTTGATCGTTCGCTTTTTCCTTGACGTCTGTTGGCAATTATTATTATTATTATTATTATTATTACGTAATCTAAAATGTAAAATCAACTTGTAAATAACACCTGATGAATAAATAAATAAATATAACACGACCATCCGTTGCGAGGAAAATGCGTGAGGAAGAAAGTGGTCATCGTGAAAGCGACAGTCGTGGTGTGGGGATGCGCAGGTAGTCGTCGTCGTACGTCATCGTCTTGGCTTGCCACTTGACTTGGGTGGTGTGTGCCAATTCCCCGTCTCACAGGGTATCATCATCATTATCATCATCATCATCATCATATTATATATGTATATAGATATATATAATTTAAGCTGAACGAAGGAGGGTGTTACAGTTTATTTGGATAGGAGGTTTGGCCCAAGATACTTAATAATACTTGATTATATTTTTCCGATGTGAAAGAAAACTCAAGGTAGTACAATATTTTTTTAACACACTAACCATCCGATAAAATTCATAATCAAAACCTCTCATGATGTACATGAGATCCTCTGTATTCTTTATTTGATGTGAATCATGTCATTTGATTTAGCCATGATAGGAGAGTATCTCTCTAACGAAATATAAGCAAGTTGAGGATGCCAATCATCCTTCCAACCCTCCATTAAAGATAGCATACATCAGAATTAAGCTATAGATACACAGCCCCCAATCTTATTGTGATACACCTCTTAGTCTTGTCATCACGTTGTTTGTAATATATATAAATATATATATATATATATATATATATACATGAGAATGTTGATGATATTTCATGCCACCTAAAGAGCAGAGCGTCTCTTAGAAATGTTAATATTCTATTTTGTGGATAAAGATATATTGTATTAAGTTGTCGAAAAGAAGGTAGCCATCGTATCAAAACAAAATTATTGAAATCAATGTATTTACTTACTTCTTTAGTACATTTGATGCAGCGATACTTTAATACAAAACAAAATATTATTGAAATATTTGATTGCCGAGCAATTATCACAAAAAAAATTGAAATGGAGTCCTCCTCGTTCAAAATGAATCTCCTTAAGAATTTTCCTCGACTATATATATAGTAATATATATGGCTCGACAAATGAATGTTGTGGTTGATAAGACAGACAACAAACAATCGATTGGTATTTTAAAAGCCATAAAATAGCTCTACAACCAACCAAACCAAGCATTAAAAACCTACACTGGGTATACTTTTTCTTTTTCTATCATCAATATCTCCTCCTGCACGGTCGCTGTTTGTTGAAGCCAATTAAATCTGACTTTTCATCTCCCATTCTAAACAATAACCCGAATTTGATACTGCTCGTAGATATCAATAAATTCTCTTCGTTGCCAGAAGATGATGATGATGATGCGCCCCTATCGTTTCGGAGTTTCTATGTTTCTACTAATAAGACTTTTCGCATGCATTATTATATTACTAGTCAAATACATTAAAACTTCTAACCATTTATTAAAAGGTGTGTTGTCAATCTTTTGTTAGTTTCCAACTCAAATCAGTTGGAGTTGAAATAGAAATACAATTTGTCATCTAAAATCTATCCAAAATTACTTAGTGCATATTTCTTTTGGGAAATAGAGATGTCAGTGTATGATTGCACCACTTCTGCGCCGCGAAAATAATACATCATTCCAAGATCAGATGACAAATCAAATTCAACGATTACTTAAATATATCAAATATGGCTCTATCATTTCTACTATAAATCAGATCATCTAGCATATAATATAAGAACCATTTTTCCTCCATCTTCAACTCTAATTTAAAAAAAAGTATATGTTCATATAGGTATTTCTGAATTTTCTTTTTCAAAAAAAATAAGAAGAATCTATATACCAAGTCTTTGGAGTTTGTTTTAGTCCATATAGAACTTTTTTTTTATTTATATACTTTATGCTCATTTTTAAGATTAATTGATATATATATATATATATATATATATATATATATGTATATATATATATGTATATATATATATATGTATATGTATATGTATGTATATATATATATATATATGTATATGTATATGTATATGTATATATGTATATGTATATGTATATATATATATGTATATATATGTATATGTATACATATATATATATATACATATAAATATACATATATATATAAGTCTCCATACAAGAATTGTTGATTTCACATCTAATTGAAACATAAACCAAGAGTTTTGTGATGTTAATGTAATAATCATTTGTGGAGTAAATACCTATTTGTAGTCAATGCTTAAATGAGCTTTGTACTTATTAACTTCATCACATACTTATACCAATTATCTTCTAGCCCTTAGGAAGATCTGTTAACTCCCATATTTTTTTTAATTATTATAATTTCATCATCTATCGCCTTTCCACGTTATGATTGTTTCGCAACATCTTCAAATGTTATAAGATCACAATATGAAAATTAAGCAAAATGCATTAATGGATCTTTAGACTGGTCAAGTTCATATATCCTATAATCCTTCTTATCTATGAACTGAATCTTACATCTAT